TCGCAAATGAATTGCACATTTTGTATCTGTTCTAAACCTTAGAGGACTATTTTCAAGTTTTCAATACTCTTATCAACATATGAGTGGACAAATATGCTTTATACAAATGTTTCTTTATTATCATTGGAAAAATTACAAATATTCTCCTGAATATTCTCAACACAACAACCTGGAATCTCTCTCTCTCTCTCTCTCTCTCCCTCTCTCTCCCTCTCTCTCCCTCTCTCTCCCTCCCTCTCCCTCCCAACCCTGTCTACTTCTCTGCACTGAGCCAGTTGCTCAAACAGACAAGCCTGTTTACAGTTGTCGGCGAAATGCCGCTCCTCTGTCTTCATAACAGTCAAAGCATGAGACTGAAGTTCCCACTGTGGGTCAAAAGAATGCGCTGTGATGTGCAGTCGACACGTTGGATGCGATCCGAATTATCTCACACAGCCCCTCGTACTCCACAATGTTAATTGTCCTGCAAGCTGTAGCCACCCATTTAGCTATCGCTGTTGAAAGCTTGCTGCTCGTAGACGCCGTGTCCAGGCGTCTCCCCGGAAAACTTTCAAGCGTGGTCTGCCGCAAGCAAGCGACTGTCAGCATCAGCTGTGTGCTTGGCTTGCTGTTTAAAACACCTTTTTTGTATCCATATCTCTCCCTACAATCTCCCACCATCCAACTAACAACAACAACAACAACGTCAAGCCTTTGGGCTCTGAAAGAGGTGGGCCGAGGACAAATACACATGCGTTAATCGCACGTTAAAATAATTAGTGGCATTAAAAAAAATTGCGTTGACACGTTAACTTGACAACCCTCATTTTAAAGCCTCTAATGGTCTTGGGCCTAGCAATTTATCGGCTTTGCTTTTAACCTATGAGCCCTCTAGAACCCTCAGGTGAGGCGTCTTTTTATTATAACAGTCGAGGGCAGACTTTTATCATTTAGCTTTCAACTGATTTGTAATTGATTCTTATTTTATTGTAAATGTATTCTTATTTTACTGTAATTGTAATTTTTGTACATGTGTATATACTGTATATGAGCTGGTATTAAGTGTTCTTTTTAATCACAAAACTATGTGTTACTCGTGTTGTTAACCGGAAAGACGAGAAATTATTGTTTTTATTTTTAAATGATCTATGTGTTTAGGTTTTGAAGAAACTTTGAGTTACCTTTGTGTTTGAAAATGCTTTATAAATAAAGTTTTATTTTATTTTATTTGATATAGGGACTGACATGGCCCATGAGAGCAGGTCACTAGAGGTCAAAGTGTATGCCAATCGAGGTTAGCTGTTTTTTTGGGGCAAGCTCCAAAGACTTGTATTCGCATTACTGGAAAGAAGAGGAAAAGAGCCCCTAAGAACATAACAGAGGATCAGGAGGTTCATTGGAAGGCCACCTGGAGAAAAGGTATGCTCTGATCCTCCATGGCTGGGTCGCCTGGGCAAGTTTTGTCAGATGTTGACAGACTCCAAACACCCAATGACCCCAGATTTCATCACTGAACATGTATTCAGGAGTATTAAAAAGATGTCTTTTAGCAATCGAGTGAGAAATCTATAGAAATAAAGCCCTTGCCATGTTTTCATTTCCCTCCTAGTTCCAGAAGAAGCTCTGTCCTGAAAGTGCCGTCTGAAGGAAAGGTCAGAAAATTCTTCTGCATGCATCCCCTGGGGACCATGAATATTGCCAGTTAGAACTTAGACCCCAAAATGGTCACTGCAGTCATGTTGCAACAAAAATATGTTTAACTAAACTCCATTCAACCTGTTGAAGAACCCTAACTGATCTCTAAAGACTTAATAGAGCACCACACCATCATTATCAACAGCAGCACAGCCACAGGTCGACTGAGGTTAAGCACTCGGTGCTGATGGACTGTGACTCGGAGCCTTGCTTCAGCCTGGCACGTCCCCCCCCCCCATCACACTGGCCCTGTCAGAGGGTTCAATGGTGCGCCGGCTCCCTGTCAGTCTCAAAGCTCCGGGCTTCCTAAAGACCGGCTATTGTATCGACCCCCCCGAAATAAACAAAGTCTCTTCTCATCTGACCGCCACACCACAGAGAGGCTTTCTGCTGCACAAGAGAGGTGCAGCACAGTGAGGACAATGGACAAAAAGACAGAAGGGAAAACGATCCAATGAGACACAAGCTCAGATACTGGTATACAGTGAAGGTAGGGGGGGAACAGGATCTGTGACAGGACATTTTTAATCCCAGAATACTCAGGAAAAGTGACAACGTTCCCTAAAATTCAAAAGTTACTGAGAAAAGGTATAAGCAGTATTCCGGTTCAGTGCAGAAAAATAGTTGGCAATGTTCCTTTACTCGAGTATTCATCTTCTGTGCAGCCTTTTAAATAATTTGGAGATGCTTATGTGCTCAGATCCACTTTCTCTAAATCCCTTTGGAACTGCAAGTGTTTGTGATTGTTGCACATTAATGAATTACAGCTGCATCTTTCAGTCATCCTCACGCGCGTCACCGAAAAGATTGCTTCTATTTAAATATAATATAACTGATCTACACAACCTGAGTAATGGCTCACATATCGCTCATGTTTGTGTGTGACTCTACGATGACTGTGTGTTACACACAAGTGGCTCAAAAGAGACAGGGGTTGGTGACACAGCAATTTTCATATTACAGTTAGCACGTCCAGATTAAAACGTCTTCTTCATTCTTTGTTCAAGAAGTTTTTTACTGGAACTGAATTATCTGTAAAAGTTTTTTTCTGTCCAAATTCAAAAGCACTGTTAAAGGTGGGGTAGGTAAGTTTGAGAAACCGGCTCGAGATACACTTTTTGTTATATTCCATGGAATGCTCTTAACATCCCGAGAGCAATGAATATCTTAAGTGCTTTGACAAAAAATACATTAAAAAATGTCATCTGTGGAAGCCGTAGTACTGTAAAAAGCAAGACCAATCATCTGAGCCCGCCCGGCTAAAGTAACTGGATGGCCTACAGCCTTCCATCTCTGCACTAACTTATCTCGTGCCCTCATTGGTCATGTGCACGTTCGTGCGTGTTGGAGGAGGGGCTCTGTAAGGAAGTGGCAGATTTTTTCCGGCTGTGTATTTTTTTATTCTAGCGCACTCCAGCTGGTTTCTCCAAAATGACCTACCCCACCTTTAACTGTTTGACTATTCAACTTAAACTTTGGCTTTGTTGTCCCCAAGGTGAAATCTCCAGCCAGTTCAAACATAGAATGCTGAAGGCGTAGGCACGGACCACGTTACAGTAAACAAGATAAATTAGGTAAATCCGGTAATCCGTTAATGACAACAATAAGAAAGCTATCACCAAATACCTAATTAATCAGCAGTTATATTAAAGTTATAGTTAACAGTTTGGTGGTCCGAGAGATAATAATGATTATTCCCCCCTGGGATGCATTATTTAGATTGTATTTAAGTTTTTTTTTTTAAAGCAATATTGACATGCAAATACATCCATTACTTGAGGGTAAATAAAAAAACAAAGGGATCACTTGATTGATCTTCGATTGAGTTAAATTGCATTGTATGTCGCACAAATAATACAAGACAGCGCGATCTGATTGGTTACGTACAACCACTAAATCTGGCTAAACTGACACAGGGAACATATTACAATCTCCAACCCCCAATTTATAACACAGGTTTTCTGATATATATATATAAACAACTATGAGATAAACATTTAACTTCTGCTGTATAATCAGTTAATGCATGAATGAAGTGCTCATTTAATGACATCCTTACCCCGAGCTGGTGATCGGCTTTTGTTGGCAACCATCCTGTTCTTCAGTCGATTCATGAAGACTTTGCAGCGGAAGATCACCAGATTCATGGTGCAAGCTTCTGCAAGATCAAGGTGAACATATTACAACTGGTCACATGAACTTCATCTCTCGCAAACCTTTACACTGACAAACTCCAACGTTGGCAATGTACTTTTTGTATTGATTAGTTGGGTAAATAACCAACAGATACATTAAAAACAATTGTTAGTTTAGAACTTATTTTGTATTTGTCCATTTATACACTGAAAAAACTGAAATGTTGACTTTAATTGAATGTTGTATGTCAACAGATTTCACATAACTGTATTAGGTTAGTTGAAAGCAATAAAATCAAGCTGAACCAACCTAACACAGTTATGTGAAACTGTTGACATAATACATTTAATTAAAATCAACGTTTCAGTTTTTTCAGTGCATGAACTACATGTAATGCAAACCTCTACGCTGAAAAAAATGAAACGTTGACTTTAATTTAATGTATTATGTCACCAGATTTCACACATCTATATTAGGTTGGTTCAACTTGATATTATTGCTTTCAATGAACCTAATACAGGCTTTCAGAGGTTTTATCAGTGTACATTTATATATTTTTCAGTCTACCTGCTGTGAGTTTGGGTTGGCAGTTGATGAACTCTGTCTGTCTGGAAGGAACGTAGCTCTTCCTCCTGGACTGCAGGGTTCTGGGTGCAGGGACAGGTGAGGCGACGCTGGGCACCTCGAGGGGGGCGCTATGACTCCTCTGGCGGACCACTTTTCCCAGACTTCCTACTTTTCCTTCCCAGTAGGTCTTGCAGGCATGGTACAGGATCTGGACGAAGAGACACTTCTCTGCTGAGGAGCTGGCCACCCATTGGTCCACAGCCCCGTCAAACACAAGGTCAAACTCCGGGCAGTCCTGGGGGAGCAGGAGACAGGCCGGAGAACGCATTTAGGAGACATTAATCATATATATCCTACTGCTGTTAATAGCAGAATGTTGGATAGGGCTGACCTTGTTGGGGTTGATGCCGTTGACCTGGCGGAGCTTCTCCACCGTCCACTGGGTCCTCTTTGTGAAGGTGGAGGAGCCACCAAACTGCTTCACCTTTGTAATGAGGAGCTGATGTGGCCTTGTGTTGGTCACTAGGTAAACAGATCATATGCAAAATATGCTTTAATATCAATAGTTTTAAATAAACAACCAGTTTGAATTTTAGCTGCAGAAGACACTGAAAATAACCTTACATAACGTCTTAACCTTGACTCATTTATAATTATTGGGTTGGGAATAAATGCTGAATCCAAGCAGCAGAACATATATGAACATAAGAAATGTAGCAACCCTAGAATACTAAAAGCCTCACATAAGCCTGCAGAAATTCAGTAATGTCAACACATTGGAATCTTTTAGGACCTTCAACTAGTTCAGGGTTCTTACCACTGATATAAAAATCACAAAATGCAGGCACTAGTTGGTGCTGGCAGGGAACTATTGAAAAATCATATGTACTATTACAAAATATTCTGTAATCTATCATTTCTCTACTTCTCCTAAAGGCTTCGATTTCTACCGTTGTACCGTTTGATAATCGTTCTTGAGAACAATTACAACTAACTCTTGTTTTACCTATTCCCATCGTTGATATTGTTACTTACATTTTTAGTGTTATTTGTATTATATTTATTACCCTTGTGTGAACTCTTATCTGTCCTATCCTGTGTGTTACTCTTGTTGCTTAAAACATCTTTATCTTCCATTTCCACTGACAGTTGTACCCCTGCTCTCTTCCGGCTCTTTACCCTCCTAAACAATGGCTCTGCTGTGACCTGTGACGCACCGCTCAACAATTAATCTGCTCAGAGCCAAAAACAACAGTGTTTAGCTTTCACAAAAACAGGCTAAGTTTGCAAAAGTAAGGCTATAAGAAACAACTGCAGTGTAAATGTGGATGCAGGTTGAATCCACAAACTTACTAAAGTTGCTAAGGTGGTAACACGAATGAAGGATGGTTTGTGGTCTGTTTTTATCACCTACTGCTAACAAACTATCCATGAGTTTTGAACATGAGAATGGCCCAAAGTTTTCAACAGTGGGGTCCCTTTGTGGCATGTTATATGAATTCCTGTCCCTTGATCCTTTGTCTTTATCCAAAAGTAGTAGTAGGCTATACAAGTTATCAATATGAGTTCTGTTGTGATCTAGAAGGCCTTGGGCAGCAATAGGACCTCCAAAACAACAACAGACTGGTGATAGTATTAAGTATTGCAAAAAAAGAAGCAGGTAGTATTACAAATATGAAATTGTAAAATAGTATGCATTGCACATAAATGAAATTTAGCCTCTTGGATGACTCCGTAATGTCCATTAATGTGCACTGTCCCTAATAAATAAACACACACAAATATAAATAGATAAATAAATAAGAATTGTGTTATTGCACCTCAGTGTTACAGTCTTGGTGACGTGGTGACTGTAAAGTGATCAATAATGCACAGACTATGAATGTTAAGATAGTTTCCATTAAATGAAGAATGTCTTGAGTCAGATTGAACCTGAAACACAGATGAACGTGTTGTAGTCCCCTCCGGCTCCAGTGGGCAGGAAGGACATCCTCTTCCTCTTCCTCCTCGACACCTCCACCGCAACCAACATCCGCTCATCCCGAGGGATGAAGAGCTCTTTGTTGATGGCAGACTGAACGCTCATTGTAGTCCTGAGACCTGCACAGGGATGGGTGTGACTGTGCTACAGTACGGAGTGTGTGTACGAGCAAAACACTGCAAGACGCTCCAAAATAAGAGCTGTTTTCTTTTGAAAAAGCTCTGAGAAGAAATCGCCCGATCAGAGGAACCTGACCTCCTGATCAGAGCCTTTACAATAAAGAAAGAAGTAATGAATGTTTCTTTAAGGACAGGACATTATGTCAAGCTAATATTGACTATAATACAACAGCATACAGCACAACAAATGTGTGTGTTATTTTTACAAAGGTTTACTTTGATTCTTCAAAAGCTATTTTTCTATTAATATCTTTTATGTGGCCGAACACAACATGAAATGGAAGACAATAAGCTTTAACAAGGAGTGAGATGGTATGAATAATACATTTGTCAATAAATATGTCATGGGTGTGTTTTTGGTTCTTCAATGTATTATCTGAAATGTTGAAGGGATACGATTGACACTGTTTGTGTCTTTGTTCTATTATGATTATTATTAATAATGTAATTTTTTGGATGAAATGGTTCTGTCATCTAATCAACCTAACTCATGTTGTACTCATACTCATACGTACATGCAAGAGGCATGTACGTATAAATAAGAATAATAAAGTAGTGTTTGAAAAAAAGTATGTGTCAGTGTAGACAACATCACTTACAATACAATAGATTAAATAAATGCATTTCGTCCAGTGCTGAAATTATTTTTTTATTGTTTCTTTTTGTAAAGGGACGAAAAATAACAAGTTTATTCTCAAGCAAAAAGAACAGCAATTATTTCGCTACAGCCTTACTCTGTTTCTTTAACAGTAAGCTGAATGACTTTGTGATTTTGATCAGAGAAAACAAGAAAATAAATCCTCTGGGGCAGTGTGCAGTGACCTCCAACCACCGTGCAGAGGAGAGATAAAGGTCCAAATAGTGGATTTTAAAGTTTAAAATAAGTCTAACAAATAATTAGTTGACTGTTGATGTCATTTTATTCCTGTTTAAGTAGTTTGCTGCATCAGTCCACACATGATGGATCCTAAGAGCCAGAGGAGCTCTCTGTATAAATGGTTACTCATCATATCACAAAAACATCAGTGGCAATCTACTCACTGAAAAAACTGAAACATTGACTTGAATTAAATGTATTATGTCAACATATTTCACATAACTGTATAAGGTTAGTTGAAAGCAATAATATTAACTTGAACTTTGTAATATTATTGCTTTTAACTAATACAGTTATGTGAAATCTGTTGAGATAATAATTAATTCAAGTCCACATTTCAGGGTATTGTATTGATTAGTTGGGTAAATAACCAACCGATAAATCCAAAACAATTCTTAGTTTACCACTTCTTTTGAATTCATCCATATATATACAGTATACTATGTATTCTTGGTTCTACAGGTGGAGAGAGATTTGTCCTACCTGTTGCTGTCCGGCTCTTCTGACTCCTGTATCTCTGGGACAGACTGTCCTGTTAGTTTAGATAAGAGTTAGTAGCCTGTTCAATTAGTGAAATATTTCCCAGGATTCTGTCACGAACGTATCACTGCACACCAAGCGGCGTGCCTTGCTGTAAAGGCGAAAATCATCCTCAGTCCATCCCATTTCAAGAGGTTGACGTGCACGTGGTTAAAGGCTGGAAGACAGAGAACAGAAGGCGGCTGTCTCTAAAACTGAGG